AGCCTGATCTGGGTCTGGCCCTTTTATCACTTTCCCTCTTGCAGGGAAGCTTTCCCATATAGGAAGTCCCAGCTCCTTAGAGTCCTCATTGCCATGGCCTCAGTGGCTTTGTGTCATACGTGCACCTTTGTGTGCATGGGTGCACTCCTGTTTGTAGTGGAGCCCATTAACATCTGAGTGGCTGGATTCAGTATGTTCCTGTTGTCTTGCTGCCTTGTCATTTATTGAAAATACTGCAGCACAAAAGGCCTGGGTTCCACATGACCATCTGAGGTTCTCAGAGGACATCAGTGATGTCTGCAGGGAGGGAGACATGCAGCAGTGTGGTGCTGCATCTCACCCAGCCTGTGCCTAACAGGGCAACCACTGTCTCTTTTCTGTTCATCACCCTCTGCTCTTCCACCTTTTTGGGGGAGGATGGACATAGCTCTTGGTGCTTTGGGTAAAAGTAGTTGAACTGTAGTTGAACCATAGGTCAGGACTATTTGCACTAGAATTAGACCTAATGATGGTTTTGTTAGAATAGCTGAAACAGCTGCTCAGGTGTGAGTTTGCAGTCTCTGTTTCAATGCCATTTTTCTTGTAGTGGGGGCAGGAATTGGAGGGATATGCAGAACGCAGATATCTCGATGCATTCTATGTTAAAGTATTAAAAGTCACTGGCAAGCTAGTTCTCCTTCCTCCATCCCCACCTCTTTTCCTCAACAGCTGCACCCCATGTACCTGCCTCTTCTCACCATACAGACGTCATATATTCCAGTCTGCCCACCCATTCATCCTGCCTTCCCCTGTGCCAGCTCCTCTTACAGGGCTTTAATCTTATTGCTTATGGGTTTTGTCCTTCCCACTCGTATACCATTGAACGTAGTTGTTTTCCCTTATTAAGCAGTTTATCACAATGTTGCACTTTTTTTGCCTCTTTTTTTTTTTGTTTTGTGGTTGTTTTTAACTAGGAGAGAAGGAAGAAATTTATTCTTTTGACCATAAATCATTTACAAAGCTGCCGGGCTGTTAATGTATTTTTTATGGCTCGGCAAACAGAAAATAAGAGTGAATGTCTTACTGGAGCTCTGCCGACCTGTTTTAATTTCAGCTTCCAAATCCTGACTCTGTTCCTCAGTCTCGGGAGCAGATGCATTTCTCTTGCAGAGGCACCAGTGGATACCTTCTCCCAAAGGAGGCAACTTTGCTGTGTCAGCAATGTGACGTGCTGTTGCCAGCACTTGGCACTGATCTGCCGCATGACACATCTCTGCTGACTGGACTGTACTGGGACAATACTAGCAAAGAAATGGGATGGACAAGGGTGGGAACTCAAGGCTATTTTTGCTTTTAGATCCTGGGAAGAGCTCGAATTAGATTCCTGCTCTGGGGTAAGCGAGTTACATACAGCTCTCATCTCATTCCATGCAGCCTCATCCTGTATTCTGCATGTGAGCCTTGTGGGCTCAGCCAGCCTCAGGTATGGTTACAGATGCCCATGGGGATGCTGGAAGATGCTTTCAGAGACAGTGACTGGCTGTGGTTGTGCTTCCCAAACGTTACAAGCTGGCTTCAGAGAGGTTTTGCAAACCACTTCAGGAAAATGAAGGCAATGTATGCCTTCACTGCTCTTGGTCAACTCTGTGCCTTTTCTCTCTTTTAAGAATCAGATACAAATCTTTGCTATAAAAGGTGTTTTCTTCTTTCTGGTGCACTGTGACAAGCAGTGACATATTTAAGAGGAGGGATGTGGGAGGTTTATGTTGGCATCTGAGCTAGGTGAATGGGAATGTCTGTATCTGTGAGCTGTTGTTGCAGGCTCTTTGCAAACTCAAGCTAAGCTTCCCACCATAAATGTGCTTGCATGAACATTTGATAAACTTTCCTTCCCAAGTCACTTCAGGAGAAGTAACTGGCCACAGTCATTTAAAATGTTCCCACTCCTAGACATTCATTACTCTTCGATGATACCTCCACTGTAGCAGTGAGCAGAACAGGATGGCACGTCCCCAGTGCAGCTTTCCCCTTTCACAGCAAAGCAAGTTGGCCTGTACTTAGACCTTCCTCAGCAGGCTATACTAGTTAATGCCTGCCTGTGAGATGGAGGCATGGTTTCTTCTGCTTTGAGGGCAATAATCTTTTGCTGAGCATCAAGGCAAACAGCAGAGGATGACAACATCTTAAGTTACTGCAGCAGGAAATGGATTTAAATTGAAGGACAACAGGTTAAGATTGGATATTAGGAATAAATTCTTCAGTATGAGGGTGCCAAGACTCTGGAATAAATTGCCCAGAGAAGTTGTGGATGTGCCCTCCCTGGAAATGTTCAAGGCCAGGTTGGATAATGCCTTTAGCAATCTAGTCTAGTTGAGACACGTCCCTGCCTACGGCAGGGGGCATGGATTAGATGGTCTCTAAAGCCCCTTCCAACCTAGGCCATTCTGTGATTCCAGGATTTCCTAGAGCTGATCTGTCACAGGACCAGGGGTGAAGGAGAAAGGGACTGTATTTGCCAGCCTTAGCTTTGTAGAGGACAGAGAATAGGGAGATATATTTCTGTGTCCAGCTAAACTTTCAGTTTCCTCCTTGTCTGTGCCTGTGATTTGGAAAATGGTGTTTCAAGCATCTCTGGAAGACCTTAGGAGGGAAAGAAATGACTGGCACTGGGCTGCAAGGACACACCACCCTGTTTGTCCCTTGAGTATGCTGACTCATTGTGGCCTTCAGCCATCTTCTGTAGACAGATTGCATGCTCCTGGTTTGCCCACCTGAGTCCTAGAAGGATGAGTCCTTGTTGATTGATGCTGGATACAGCCAGGAATGGGCAAAGTTGACACTAAATGATCCCATGGAGTGGATTGAACTAGGCTTACCCACCCCTCCCCTCTTTCACTTCAAGAGAGCAGTGGGTGAGCACTTGAGTGAGCTCCTGATCCTCTCTGGGTCCCCTCTAGTCTTGCTTGTGTACTAAAGCAAAAAATTCCCCAACCTTAGCAGTGCAGCTGCTCCTTGAGTCCTCTGCAAAAGCTGTGAATTCAAGGACTGCCAGCTCGGATCACGGCAGTCTCTGTTTCCAGCCAATGCCACATGTATCAGAGGGAAGTGTTAAACCTTCCACACTGTACCTAACTGTGCAACACTATACCATGGAGAGGGGATTAATGACTGTCCCAGAGCACAGCAATTGATTAGTTTTACCCTGGCTGATGTCATTGCAGATGCTATTTTTGTTCCTATCAATGTCCCTTCCTAGTTTTACAGTCTTGCTATAATACAATACAGTTGGTTTTTTATCTCCAACTTGCATCCATACTGTGTCCAAGGCAGCAGAGATGCAAGGCAACCATCCCAGCTAGTAGGAGCTGTGAAGAAGATGGCTATTCTGGCAGCTCCTGCCAGGCTGCATAGAGACATAGAAGAGAAGCCAGCACTGGGAGCATAGCAGGAGTCCAGATTTGGAAAGAACCTTTTGGGTCATTTGGCCCCTAACCCTGCTATCCACAGGGAATCTATACACCAGATTTGGGTTCCTGTTCCCACTTTGTTTATGTTAGCAAGCTGCTCTGATGCTACGCTCTTCTCACAGTTCAAAAACCTCTTTTGTGCTTCAAGACTGTGACTAAATAAATTCAAGCATGAAGATATCTTGGAAGAGCACTGTGCAGGTTACCCAGAGAGCTTAACATGATGCAGTCCCTGTTAGATGGAGAACACAGCCCCTCTTGATTTCCCTAGCAGGTTTGAATACTCAGCAGTTCAGCAAATCAAATCCTTGAGGTCTAAACCTGAGCAAATGAGGGTCTCAAACTAATGAGGACCTTCTGAGGATACCTGGAGCTGATCAGCTTGTTCAACTGGACCCAGGGAGTCTGTGCCAGAAATGAGGAAGGAATCAAATTCCTCAGCGTGTTATGAGAGCCCCTTTTCTGCCTTTGCAAGAGCTAGTCCAAGGACATAGGAGAGAACTGACACCATTCTTGAAGTACGTATAGATGAAAACTTTCCTGTCTTTTTTTTTTTTTCTTTTGGTCTTAAAGTCCAGTTTTCATCCCCCCTATGGCTACAGGTTGGGGAGGTCAAAGGTGGGGACACGTGCTCCCTGTCATCTCAATCAGGCAGTTGCTCGATATCCTTCTCCCAGCTAGCCTGGAGAGAAAGACCTATTTCTCAAAGGGAGGATGGCAGGGTTATTAGTGACCCCGTTTCACCAGGCCAACAGCTGAGGCCAGAGCAGTGTGTGTC